TTGAATAATTTTTTATTAATTTATAAACAAAAATATGCATTTTAAAAAATTTCAAAAAGTTTTGTTACATACTGTATTCTATTAAATTTAATTATTTTTCAAATTTAATATTTATTCTTTTTAGTTTTTTAATTTATTGATTTAATTTTTTATTTTTTAAATAAATATAAAAATAGGTCTTAATAATTTAATGATAATTTAATTTTAATTCTTTTCAATTTTTTTTTTAGGTTAAATTTTTGAATAACAATTCTTTAATATTTGATATCAATATTTATGCAACTTCAAATATCAATATTTTAAGTAATGCAAGAAATAGTTTTCTTTCAAGCAATTCAATTGTTATAGTCAAAATTAAAAATTTAATATCAGGTATTATTGAACAAACTGTTATTGTTTTTGATATAATTAATATAATTAAAGTTTATAATGACAAGGAAGGTTATGAAAATTGCAAAAATGATAAAAATAATAAAGATTATTTTTATTTTTTATAAAAAATATGATCAAATATTTTTTTTTTTTGTTTGAATATTTTAAAATCTTTATTTTTTTTTTTATTATATTCTTAAGTATATTTAGATTGATTGTGTTATATATGCCTTTGTTATATTTTAAAAGAATGTGTATAATTTTTTATTGTTTTTTCTTTGCATCTTTATAGATGATGTTATTGAAAATTTGAATTGATTTGACTATACTTTTCTTGATATTCGATAAAGTTTGACTCTCTTAGGATATTATAAGTTTTATAGATATTTCGTAATCTGTTTAAAATATAATTAAATTAAATATTATAATGTACCGTATATTGATAATATTTAAATTATTAAAATTAAACTTTGTTGTTTTAAGTTGAATTCTAACTATTTCTAAATCATATGTTATTATTATATCTGAATAGAATTTCAATTATTTACTATGGTTTTATATGCGTCTAAACAAGATCTTGAAGATTTCAATCACAATTTTTTCTCTACATCTCCTTAAAGTTTACTCTCATTGTCAGGAGATGCAGTGTCGAAAATGATTCACAAATGGTGCCTGCCAGATCGATAAGCACTTGAGTGTCTGAAACACTTGTCTCAAGTTCATACATTAAAGTTGGTCGAACCTTCGCTGATCGTTTTATCACCGCTTCTTGGTTAACTTAACTTCCCTTCATGCTCCGTGGTGATTGCTACATGTTGGAGGGAAATCTTGCTAAAACTGCAATTTGTCTTACCTGTTGGGCGTTCGAGTCTTAATCGTGAAAAAAGTTGTTCGAATTTTTTTTTTCTTTCTGTGCAGTCGAAAGTTTAAACGCGCACGTGAGAACTTTTCTATTTGTAATCATCAAAATTACCCTTTTACGAAAAAAATATTTAGTCCTGGTGAGGGTGAGGTTTCCTTTAAAAAAGATGAGTTCTTTTCATTTTAACCATTTCAATATACTGTACGTACTGTACATGGTTATATGTTGTGCGACAATTGTATCAATGGAGTCGGCGTCAAGATATCTTCTATATACTGTATTTCACCAATCGCCCGTCAGGAGTTCAAACAACTAGCGGAATTCGTACATAATGAGAAATCTTTGGTTGTTTCCTGTTGCCCAAGGTGCAACCGCATGTATTTTTTTGCCCGTATTTTGAGTATAGGGGTTTTGCACGGAGTGCAAATCGTAGTAACAAAGTTTAGAAATAAGCCTGAAAATCGGCGGAATATGATAGTGCTAATATGTGTTGAGACATGCCATACTCAATCATCAAATTTATCAAATATTCGGGCCCCACGAAGCATCCAAAAGCCTGGAATATACTTTATCGGTCTTACTGATTCATAGGATTGAGGTATCGTTTTTCTGAAAAGTTAAAAATCATTGGTCATTTACTTTTGTAGGCGGGAATATTTAGTATATACTCAATTCAACTATTTGTTAAAGGAGATGGGTATGTATCAAGGTGAAGATGCTTTTTATTATTATTATTATTTGCAATTTTTATGCTATTGTTTCTTGTTAAATTAAATAGGTTTTTATTTAAGATTCTATAGGAAGCCTTACATGTTCATGGAAAAGAAACATCCGCAATACACAGCATAATAAAATTAATCAATATATTTTAGCTGCATGATACGATTTACTATATATATCATATCTTGGTCTTTTTAATGAGAATGGTTAAACCAAATGAATAAATTATGAAATGTCATTTTTTTACAAAATTTGTTAGTAGCATGAGAAATTAAAATTACGTACTCACGAACGTGCTTTTCCTTGAAGAACGTCGGAATATCGCGAGCTTAAAATTAGCCTTTCACATGGCGTTCTGTGTGGTCGATATGATGTTTGCATGCAAGTTGCATAGGGTATAGGAAAAATTGGAAAATTGGATGTACGGACCCACCGTATTTATTATACAGTATGTATGTATCGGAGATCAGCCAGATGTACGCATGTATATTCGTCCGGGTTTCGTAGAATGATGTCGAGCGAAACTTCGGATGATGCATTTTTTGTGAATTTCCTCTGATGGTAATGGTTCCACCGCTTTTTTATTTCATTTTCCCTTAAAAAATAAATGATTGGCACCCCCAAAGTCAGGAATGTGCAAGTATAGAGATGCGTAATAACGTCGAGGAAATTTTATGCATGCATGCGCCTGTACCTGAAGACGGATGCATGCGTATCTTATCGATGTCCCTATTAGCTAAATTTTTTATTTTAAATTCTTGTATCAATAGGTGTATCAATGAGAATACTTATTGGTACATGTGCGCACGTACTGTACATAATTTTTCTCTGATTTCCCACACACACATACCATTAAAAAAAACACACTGTGATTTTAAGAGGGTGGAAGAATGCTTGCGCCCCGTTCGTGTGTATGAAAAGTGAAAAATCTCTCGACACCTATCTACCCTAAACTTCATGGTCAAATTCTTGCGTGTGGTGTGGCTGCAATACGAATAAATATATGTGCGTACGTATCTCTCCCTTTCGGCTTTGTGCAACAATTTGTGCACGAAAGTTTTCGGGTTTATCTCTCTATTTAAAACATTCCTGCTTTCGTTTCTTCTTCTTCTTCTTCTTCTTTTTTTTTTTCCCTTTATAATTAACGAAATCATCAAATTATATCTGGACGATAACGACATTAGATTGTAATGACTACCGGGGAAAGTGCGTACAGTGTAATGTAATACTCGATTTTTACCACTGCAAAGATTAACCAAGGATTTTTTTCTTGCCCGGCGATAAAAAAAACAGTGACGGAAATGAAATGTGAATGCGTCGAGATGAAAACAAAATGGAGGGAACAATATGTCTTTTATCAAGAATTCGATCCTAAAACCTCCAGCATCATCGCTTCGGCCTTGGGAAAAAATTCCATCGGTTACCTTGGCGACAATGTAAGTCACCACTGAACACATTCGCATCCTCTAAGAGTTCCTGAAGCCTTGTTAATTATATCTCACGAAATTTTATGCGCGCTTCCTCCAACCGAAGACTCCATTGATCGCGAAACCGAGTACTCAACCGACCGAAAGTTCTCAATCCGACTCGATCACACTTGCATTATTCGTCGCCGTGGTGGTCATGGGATTCATCATTTGGTGGTATTGTAGTGAGGATTTGTACATGATATATAGAATTTATGTATTAAAAGATATTAGGACATGGGTTAATTGATGCGATTGCGGGAATTTGTGGACAGATTCCCTTGTTAGAATCATTAATTTATTGTAAATTATATCTTTAGATTAGATTCGTCTCCTCTTAGTCGTTTAGATGCCCGTCCACCAGTTAATTTATTCGTGTGCGCATTATATGTTACGTGCGTGCGATGAACCAATTACATTGTATTACCACATACGGTGTCGCTTTTTTTTGCTGTTCGTTTTCACCAAAGAAAAAAAAAATTTTCTTAATTCCGTACTACCATACGTGTTTACGTCATACTATACAGTATTATGCTGGTAAAGCTAAACTTGATACGCGTACAAATAAAAATGGCATTGTTTAATGCACAGCAAACAGCTGATCAACAATATGTGTACACTTCGATCGAACTTGAAATCATAATTGCAAATATTCCTTCTTATCCGCACTTTGAACGTCTGCGAATATTCTCGGTTTCACCCTGATTGAAATATAACTTTTCGCGCACCTTCTAGAATTAGAATTTTGCACGAGGTTTGAAGCTTCGACTTCATATTTGCGAGTACTTCTCCTACAACCACCTGGCTGAGTTTCGATCTCATATTCGAGATCTTGGATTCTTTTGGATTACGTTCGTCAAGGTGTAAAGGTAAATTTCCTTTTTCTAGATTCGAAATCGTTTCCTCATTCCCTTTAAACACACATAAGCTTTTCTTTTATGATGTTTTGATTCAATCGATTCAACTAGATATCATACTTTACCTTTCATTTTTGACACACTAAGTTGTAAATTATTCATTTTTAACCGGAATCAATTATTCAGTAACCTGAGGATCCCGAGCAAAGGTCGATATAGCATAATAAGATAATTTAGGAGTGTCGCCGTTAAACCGAGCCCTCTCTCGTAATATTGAATAGAGTCTCGTTACCCCTTGTGATAAAGATCTTAGTAGCGGCTGAGCATCTATCAATTAGAGTGTGATCTGGTATAGCGTCGAATATGGTAGGTTGTCTTTCGGATTTCACGTCTCAACTTTTATCTAGTAAGTTTGATCACGAATTGAAAAAAATTTTTTTGTTTCAACTTTACTTAACAACTTTTTTGCATCCGAAATTATTAGACTCATCAGCTGTAATTTTTTGTTTGAGTCTTTACTCTTATTAGTTGTTATTTAATAAGTCGGATCCTAGGTTTTTTCAAATCTAAATCTCAAAAAAAAAATTTTTTTTTTTTTCTTTTTCTTTTTTTTTTTGTTTATTACCTGTTGACAGAAATTATTTTTAAAACTACCGGACGTCACTTCGGAAAATAAACAAGGTGAAAATCAGTCCCGTCAACCGGCACAACCATTGAAGACGACAACGGACACGAAGTCGCTGCTTTCGAAGAAAACCAAGTCTACTATTGCAAAGGCCTCACCCGCAACGGCTAAAACTTCTGCGAAGACTCGATCAAAAGTCAAATCCGATTCAAGCAATAACATATCATCCACCGTTGAAGTTTCTTCAAAACCTGCTTCATCAGACGTGATCTCATCTCCATGTGCGGCGGCGTCAGCGGAAACTCTCCCAGGCGGTGCGTCATCGCTGGCCGCGAATGTGTCTTCAACCATCACAACGATGCTGAACGCTAAATTACACGCCGATGCATCCTCAACAACGCCATTCACATCACAGCAAATATTGAGGGCACGAGGTAAAATACGTGAAGATGGGCACACCAGTGATGAGCCCCTGAAAAATCATTCAATGAGTGAAATTCAAGAGAGGACACTTGAGGTATTTGTTAATTATTCGGGGCTTTCCGTTTACTGACAATTATAACTAATGCCGTAACAATAATCTCATTTTAAAAGGTCATAGCAGCCTATGAAGAAATTGGAAATGCGTTTAAGAGAGCCGCTCTCGCTGTTGAAAAATTAAAAACAATACTGCCGCCCGGCACCAGCATTGTAATCCCCCAACTTCCGGTGGCGCCAGAAATACCTGGAAGTCAGTCATCGGTCACTGAATCTACTGATAACACTCGAACCGACCGTCATCCGGCTAACGCTACCACATCGTCTGCATCCAATAACGCCTCAATACAAAATATCCTCAATGACACTTCATCAGATAGTACGAATAATGATAACGACATATGGGAGTATAATGATCTAGCTTCTCTGCCATGGGCGAGCCAGGGGGATTCATCCACGTGGCCAAGTAAAGGTTCCTCATTTGTTGACAATAATGCCGGAAAAGAAACTACATCCCCTCCACCTCTTTCCTTCCAAGATTCGGAATGTACACATGAACCTGATAACATTGATATGGAGGTCTACGGTGATAAAGATGAAGTATCAGTTGTTAGTAGAGTATCGGGTAATTATGTGGAAATTATTGATGACAATCATCTTGGAAATGATTCCGAATCATCAATTTATGACCATCGCAACGAAATGAATAATACTGGACGTAAGGATCAAAACAAACTGGATGTTAACGGCGAAGACGTTGATCAGGAAGCGCAAATAGTCACCGGAGGACATACCGCTAAAATAAGCGAAGAAGTACGAGCAGAAAGCAGTATTAGCATTAGTAATAGTAATGTCAATGTTAATAATAATAATAACAGTAACACCAGTAGCAGCAATAGTAGTAATAGTAATGTTAGTGATTTCAATAGCGGAGAATCAAGGAAAAGGGCTTATCGATCTCGAAATCCAACACGGCATCGAGCTGCACCGTATACCATCATAGGAAAATCAGAGTCTGGAACATTCGATTATTCGAATACGAAATTCACCGACGAAGAAATCTTTATTCTCGAAGAATTCAATAAATATTACAGCCGTAGGATGCTAACGGACAAGAGTACAAAACAGTCTAAAGTCGCCACTGAAATTAGCAGCTTTACGCCCAAGGTTACATTCGAACAAACTGCAGTCTCGAAACTGGTAAGCTTCTCTTAGTACTACAATGTTTGCACGGTGCAAGGTCTCAGTCTTACTATCGTTTTTTTTTTTTTTCAAAAAAAAAAAAAAAAAAAAAACCAAAAAAAAACAGGTACGTAGAGTTAAAGTTCCAAAAGATCCAGCAACGATAAAAGCGTTGGAAATGTGGATCAGCAACGAGAGAGCAAAGGAAAGAATTGTTGAACATAAAGATTAGGCGCTTCTTTGTGGAAGGGATCAAAATCAACTTCTATTTTTGAGATAAGAGATATTTAATTCTCTAATTGCATTTTAATGTTTTTTTTTTTTTTGTTACAACAGCGGTTAGGCGAGGAAAATATGTTCAGTTTTAGCTGTGGTCGTCGTCTCGAAATATGTCCTCATTTGCTCCATTTATCAATGTTCTTTTTCATTTCTTCATGTAATCGAATCTCTTCGATAGTAGCACCTGCAATAAAGGGACTTTGCTGCGTTTTCGGACGCTTTTTTTTTTTTAGGAATGACAAAACCTATTCAGGTACTAAGCAATGAGGTACTTTCATTCGAGAATTTCCTGTTTATTAACAACACGTCAATTTTTACCTTCATAAATAGACAAATTACATTATGTATGCATTTTTAATTAATTCCGACAATTATTTATTAAATTCATTTAAAAATAAAAAGATATGAACTTACCGTTATGTATCACGCAAATACGTGAATAGTTTGAGAGTAAGGTTTATACTCTACTGTGTATGCAAAATGTTATTTTCAAGAAAAAAAAAAGGATTTATAAATTCAGTTGCTTTCAAAAGTTTTAGTTCATATGTTTTTATTATAGATTTCAATTTTGACAATTTTAAATCCTTAACCATACGCCTCAAAATTACAAAATTTACATACGGTAGCTTACAAAAGTTTGGGATCATCTAATAGTATTTTTATAGTTTTTTCGATTTAATCATTTTTTATTT